CCCAGCAGGGGACTAGCTGGGTCAAATGGGACTTCCAGGCCTAGTTCTCTGAGGTATCTCCATACTGATTTCCACAGTGGTTGCACCAGTTTGCACTCCCACAAACAGTGGAGCAGAGTTCCTCCCTTGCTCCCTTGTTCTCTCTCTCTTTTCCTTCCTTCCTTCCTGACATCCAACAATTTATTGATATCTGCCATCTGCCCACCACAGCCTAGTAAGAAAGGCATCATTAAACAATGTATTACAGACTATTTATTTACAGCTCCATAAATGCTAGAAAAGGACCATACCTAGTGAGAAGAGAGGAAACCATTGGGGGTGCCCAGAGTTGGGAGCTTTCTGGCTGAGCTCTGAAGAGTGAATTCCAACAGAAGGGACAGGGGTTGTCAAGGTGGAGGAACTGAAAGGCCAGTGCTATGGCTGGTATAGCATAGGTGAGAGAAAAGCAGGAGGTGCCTGCAGGGGCGAAGGTCAGACTGGAGGACTGGGCGGATGGAGAAGGATATTTTTATCCCAAACACTGTGACCAAGAAACCTACACCACATTTGAAGAGCCCAGAGTGAGTTCTTCAGAGACTGGAAAGCTAGAAAGTGGCTTAAACTTTATTAGTATTGTTATTTGTGATACCAGGGATTGAAACCAGGGCCTTACACATGCTAGACAAGTGCTCAACCACTGAGATACATGTCCAAGCCATGGCTTAAAATTTAAGGGCTCACTCCTGCCTGCAAGATTTGTGTTGTTCCTAAAAATGGGCGGTGAGATCAAAATGATTTAATTGAGTATTTGTCAAGGGCCGCTGTTCAGAGCTACACAAAATGCCATACAGACCCATCTAGGTTTTCACCTTGGTGTCACATTTACACTGACCATTGTCATTTTCACAACAGCTCATCTAAATGGGATAGTCTGGACTACAAAATGAAACTCTGAAAGGGTCAGACTACCACCCGATTTGAGAGCTGCAGTCCATAGACTCTCTAATCAAGGAGTAGATGGCTTGAACTGTCTGGATGAATGGATGAAAGGCAAAACTATAAGATCAGTATAACATCCAGAAGATTCCAAATGTCTGCCATTGACTGTTGTGTATTAGGGACCTCACAGAGTAAAATGCTTCTTTCCTGACTTTAGGAACAGGATTTAAATGAGTTGGGAAAATTCCAGAAGCATGGAGTCATGTTTGGAGTTTCTATATTCCCCGTCTTGTCCTCGTTTTCTTTTCATACAGGGAATGGCGGAGGAATGTTGGCAAAATGTCTGTTTGGGGCTTGAGGCAGGACTGGCGGTCATGACCTGTGGTCTCGCTCAGGCAGAATTCACTTAGCGCCTCACCTGCTGGGGCTGCTTCATTTTATGCAATGCTTCCAGTCCTTACTTAACACAGATTTAAAGTCTGAAAAGCTTAACCTTTTCAATTAGTAGCTGAGCTCTCCCCCATAGAGATCATCCAATTAAAAAACCAATTCATGGGTCACTGTCTACGAGTCTTCTTTTATTTGGTACTTATAAAAACGGTCCACATCTACTGAGGAGCATGTGGGGAAATTCACTTCAAAATGTGCTGTCCTCCAAGTGTCAGAGATAATACTTCAGGGACAACCCTGGGAAGGAAGATGCATATTGGTCTTTAATTAAGGGAACTGTTGAGAACTAAGAACATTTAACATCTTAAACCACCAGTGGCTTCGAGGCAGCAGGAAGCCAGCCCTCGGGTAACAAAGATGGGTTGTTGTCCCAACATCCTGGTACCTGCCCGTACAGCTGACCCCTAGCTAAATGTTTCCCAGCAGGAGGCATCATAAATATCAGTGACACTCCTGCTGTGACAACTCAATTTTCACAAGTGGCAAAGAAAGTAAATCTGCAATTCCCTCCCGTGGGACATGTCTGCCACAATACATTAACAGAGCTGGAGAAGAAACAACCCTCTGCCAGGAGAGCTGTAGACAGAGATGTGGGAGGCCTAGGGAAGGATCAGAACCTCATTGTGCAGATTTCATCACTGTTTCATCCGGATGAGAAAGAACCTACAGGAGCATGGAGTGGGGTGGGGGATAAAGATTGTACTCTGATTTGATAATCAGATTGTTGAAAATTACTGACAGATTGAACAAAATAATATGCTTTGGAGCTGCAGGGAACTTAAAGGTGGAAATTTAATTGACTTCTACCCCAAACCTAGGAGCTGGGGGGTGGGAGAAGCTGTATTATTAATCAGCACTATTGTCACTGCTTGGTAGTTTCATGTACGGCGAGAGGAAATGTAGCTTTCAATTACATACATATGAATTTCAAATGGCTACCTGGTGCACCCGGAGGAGAAAGAGTGCACACCAAGGCAGCAGCCCTGGGTGTTATCACGTTAGCGAAGCCACCTGCCCGCTGGAAGACGCAATTAGAGAACATGGAGTGGGCGCCACAGTGGGTGGAAAGCCCAGTCTGCCATGGCCCTGGCTTGTCAGCACTCCGAGGAAGCACATGCTATTTCCTTCCTGCAAAGCCCTTGCAATAGCCACGGCCTCTGAATGGATTTCAGAACTGCCTTGAATACAAAGTACTGTGGTTGTACTCAGCCATTTTCTATGCTGAAAGTCAGAAGAACAAAAGATAGATTGTGTTTGGCTTTAAATGATATTTCAGGAGTTCTCTAAATGTCAAGGTAAGATTAGGGGCAGCTTAGGAAGGCTTTTCCTAATTAGTAAGAATTCTTCAGCAGCTAGCATTGAGGCTCCTTCTGTATTAAGCTTCCAGAGTTTTCCTCTAGTCCTCAAATAGAAGACAAGATCTTTGTGATGAGGTTGATTTGAAGAACTGAGGATGCTTTCCTTTAATAAGAAAGATTTTGCTTTCAGGGAAAAGAGATCCCTTCTCTCCCATGGAACCAAAGCAAACCAAAACAAAAATACTACCTGGGCTTGCTTATTTGTACATTATGCAGCTCCCCCATGCACCTATGACTTGGGAGCCTCAGCGGTCCATACTGGCGAGCCCCTACCCTCAAGAAACATTTCAGCCCAGCACAGGGCCTGGCGTGTGGCAGGCGCAGCATAGTCTGTGGAATTATACTGCATATACAGAAACTCTCATTTATTCATGAGTCATTGAACAACTCTTTTCTGAGTCCCTAATACCTGCAGACACCTAGTCAACTAGCCACTGGGCAACACAAAAGATCCATTGGGAATAAACTGAACAAATGGTGAAGCACATGGGCTTTGGGCCCAGCACACCTAGGCTTGAGTCTGGCTCTTTTCTGAAACTCTGTCTGGATTTGAGTCTTCTCTGTGCCTCAGTTTCAACTTCTGTAAAATGGGGACAATAAGAACCACCTCCCAGGTTTATTGCATCAGTGAAATGCCAACAGCTGGCAGTTAGTGCGCTCTGAAGTGTTTTGCTAAGTCAGCAGTTGTGGTCCCTGACACCCTTGAAGTGACTGAGATCCGAGGAGCTCTTGTTACAAAGTCTCTATTATGAAATTTATTTATTGTATTATAAATTAAAATGAAAAACACTTAAACTTGTTCGTCAATTCATTTTGAAATTACAGCAATAAACCCATTACCTATTTAAAATAGAAAATATGTTTCAAAAATTTAGTGAAAAGAGGGGCATTTTTTCCCATTTCCTGCACATCCCTTTTCATGTCTGCTGCAATATCACAGTCCATGTTGTCTCTGGAAAACTCCACTGTGTGCTCCTCTGAGAGCATTCATTTAAAAGGCCATGCTACCAAGATATATTATGTAAATGTACAAATTTCCAAAATAAACGACATTATATTGTGTACCTAAAATAAATGGCCATGCAAGTATTAGCTCTGCTGTGGAAATGGAGTGTCCAATTTCCTGAAAGGGTCGGGGGACCTGAAGGGACACCTGGAGAACCACTGTGTTAAAGCACTACAACCTCCAGGCAACTAGGATTTTCACTTCTATTTTACAGCTGAGACAAATTTAGGGACTCGCTCGAGGCAATGCACTGAAGGGTGGCCCGGCTGGCACTGAAGCCCAGCTGTCTGCCCCCCGGGTCACCTTGGCATCCTTCTGCTATGAAGATGCTTCCACCCCTTTCTCCACACGCCCCTTCAGTTCCCCCTGAAGACACAGGTTGTGCTTTAGGACTGAGATCCGAACTTTGGAACTAGTCCATAAGATTTTGAATATTTCTTTAATCAACCCAGTCCTCATCAGAGAGCATCTCCAGGGGCTAACTCACTCACAGAGGAGGAGTATGTCCATCTGATTACCTGAGCAGCTCTAGAAATCCCCTAACTATCAGGGCAACTCTCTGCCTTGGTTTACCTTGTAGTGAGGACAACTCACATGCACACTGTGAAGAAAAACAAAGCAGGGACATTGAAGGAGGAGCATAAAAACACCCGTGCAGTGTGGGTCTCTCTGGCTTTGCTCACCTGGTTAAAAAACGGCAGGTAGTTGATTCAAATGACATGTTCCTGGGGGGTACACTGAGGCCAAGCAAAAACAAAATTCCAATTCTTTCTCTCTCTCTCCCCCTTCCTTCCTTCTTTCCTCTCTTCTTCTTCTTTCCTCCTCCTCCTCCTCCTTCTTCTTCTCCTCTCCGCCCCCCCGCCATCTCAAAGTACTCTGCCGCCTTTGCAAGTCACCTGTTCCTATTCGCCAGCTAAAGAGAAAATTAGGGGTGGAGGGAAACTACATTAGAATTCATGGGAAGAAATGAGATTCTTTGAAGACACTGGCAACTGGATTTCTTTGTTTTATTAGCATAAGTGAATTATTAATTCATCACAGAAAAAGCATAGATCTTTGTCATATAAAAAATCATCAATACCACAACAGACCCTCATACACCAGGATGAGAATTTTCTCTTTCTTCCACTTGCATAATGCTTTGCAAGTTACAAGCCCTGTCATACACTCCACAGATCTAATTGTGATAACTGTGTGAGTGGAGTTCTTGCCCTGGCTGGAACCAATGAGAAAGCACAGGTGTTTTACTTCCTTATCTCAATGCCTTCAAATAACAGATCAATACTAAGGACTCAACCAGAAGCACCTGGGGGAAAAGTCATTGATATTTAATATTTGTAAAACTGCATTCCCAAACTTAAAGTTTTTCAGAGCTGGCCATGGGGAATCCAGAGTCCCAGGCCCAACTTTGGGAAGTGATCCTGTCCCAGTTTTCCTGGAGAGCTGCTCTTTTTATAACTAACTAGTTGGAGCTCTTTCCTAGGGTGACCGCCATACAAATAATTGCACTGATCACTTTCTGTATTGATGCTTTGTATGCCTCAACATATAAATGCAAACCTTCCACATAACTCTTGATAGACCTCACCTGTCTGCATAGATAGCCTCTAGTGGGGTCAAGACTTCCAGAACCCCCCTCCCCCAGTGCCAAAGAGGTGAGATTTTGGGTCCCCATACCACCACCCCCAGCACCAAGGAGCAGAGCCCCCCAGCACCCAGGAGCTGAGCCTTTCAGGCGGCTGCACCACCACCCCAAGTGCCGAGGAGCAGGCCCCTCCCCCGCAATGAGGAGGTGAGCCACATGGGCACCAGCAGCACTCCACCCCCACCATCGAAATGAGAAGACATGTAAACAAGTCTCAAAACCAGATTTCCAGATCACCTACAGCAACCCCAAAGGGAAACGAGATGGAATAATCTGATACTCAACCACCTGGACTCCCTGAACTGGCAACAAAAGAGGATCT